TCGAAAACTGGAGGATGTAGTCTCAGGAACTGGGGCGGTAGTATCGGAGAATGCCGTGCTTATTGACTGTGATTCGGTCGTAGGGAGAGCAGAAGGAATGGACGTTGGTAGGGTAGATCGTGGCTGCACTGGGGGAGATGAGGGTCGAATCTCTTCTAGACAGGATGGACAGGTTAATGCACGCATTAACCAATCATCGATACACACGCGATGGTATGTGTGCAGACAGGGGAGGTAGCGCAACTCCTCTCCTTCTTCATATTCACACATGCAAATAATGCACCTTTTTGTTGGAAACGGAGAAAAATAGGGAGAAAAGCAGGAACATGGTTAGTAGTAGGTTGGTGCCTTTTAGGGGCATACAGGTGTTGACCAAACTCATGCAACATCCTGATTTTCATCACATTTGTTCCTCTCAATGTTTCGCTTTTCCAGTCTCATTCACAGGATTGCATATGATATTGCCCCACATTAGAAGCAACATATTTGGTATAATACCCACTGTCTTTGCATCTATTGGCCACATACCATTAAAATGTACAATTTCGCGATTTTGACGATGGTTGCAGGTGCATCAGTTGCAAAATAACAAAACCACGGTAGAAAACGTAACTAGAATTTATTTTGAATATTCCCATGATAGCACTGAGAAAACGAGTCCGTGAGCGAACAATTGTTTTCGGATATTCCTAGTCATGCTCTTACATATCATATGGTGGAAAAAATTCTTACATAATCATAGCCTTTGGCTCATTTTAAAGTCAATATTCGGAGGTAGAGAGTAATGGGAGTGTGTAGGAAAGTTTAACCTGTTAGTTGATGTGACCTTTCCACACTTGGGTGCAGGCGCTCCAATTGCCTTGGCCGTGTGTGAAAACCAAGACGGAACATGACGTGTCACTTGACCCAAGTGGGGATAGGTCACATCAACTAACAGGTTAAACTTTCCTACACACACACACACACACTCCCATTACTCTCTACCTCCGAATATTGACTTTAAAATGAGCCAATGGCTATGATTATGTAAGAATTTTTTCCACCATATGATATGTAAGAGCATGACTAGGAATATCCGAAAACAATTGTTCGCTCACCGACTCGTTTTCTCAATAGAATTTATTAAATTTACTCATAGACTTTGTACAAGTATGGTACTTTCGTCTCGTTCACGTTTCATTTGCTCTTCTTCGTTTTTGAGCACTGGCAATCGCTTTAGCATGGAGTCCACCAAGTTGGTTGCCAAACAGAATTTGCCAGTTTCCACTAATACACTCCGCACCCTAGCCATTGACCACCAATGTCGAGGCAGCTTACTTATCCCTGTTTCTGAAACAGGAAAAACGTATCGATTAAATTAAAATCTTGGCTGCTGCGCGGTATTTGAATGAATTTGATATTGAACTTGACCCCTGTAGAAATTGCATAAATGTGAAAAAATAATATTTAATTAGGTCTAACCGTTTTCTACTACCAACCTCAAGCGAGAAGATATACCAACCTTCATATGTGAAAAATATGACTTCCGCGAATGTATTTAAAGGGTAGCAGTTACCGAAAACGCCCCTTATCAGTGCAAAATATTTTGCGATTTCCAGCTTGGTGTGTACAGGAGACCAATAACGAGGCACTCAGTATATACATCCGTCTTAACTCGTCAGGCGGGATGAATATGTATTTCTTCTGACAGATAAAACAAAATTCGTTAGAAAACTAGCTCAGCAAATCAGCAATGTTCACCATAGGCTGAAATACTCGTTGGCCACCAGTGAGGTAAATACATTGCCAAATGGACGAGCGACGCGATTGACTTTGTTGGTAAAATCAATACATGCTTTGACTTGTTCCATAACAGCTTTATATAATCAGGTGTTTCAGAGTTCGAACCGTGGTAGTACTACTTAGCGTTGACGGTAAACAGTTTAGCACGACTCAATACAACTACAACATGACGACTTTATATCAGTCATTCAGGTTCTCAGGATATGCTAGCCGTTCATAGAACTGAAAGTAGGTCCTCATGACAATGGGATTTCATCCCGTTTCCAATACGATTAATTCGTGGACAATAATGAGTGAAACACAACTCTGCTGTGTGCGTGGCTTCCCTAGAAATGGCTCGCGATGTTTCTGAGAAGGAACTTGCGATCGGTGCAACAACAGACGGAGGCAGTAGATCACAGATTGGGATGAAATAGAAGGAAAGAGTGGGAAACGTTTCCGATCAATCAGTTAGTTCCACGTGAGCCCGATCTAGGAAGTAAAAACTAGTTATTCACACAACAACTAACCGACAGTGTTCCAATTGACCTTGCCTTGACCGACATAAAGTAAACAGGAATACGGAAACATTGTCCATGCTATCCCCAGGATTACATGAATTAACGGTCATCAACGATGATCCCGTTCACGGTATTTAACCCAATCTAATGATCGTGTAAGAGACTTAAACCATTAGATTCGCTTGATCCAAAGCGTCAATATGAAAGAAAGACAAAAATTGCGAGATAACAAGACGTCATGTAGTATCCTGATTGATCAAAGACGCAAAACATATCTTTATGGAAGCAATAAAGATTCCAGCGCGATCGATTGGTCTGGCATAATGAGAGAGAGAGAAGGGGAGGTTGACTTGAGAACCACCTAGGTAGAAAAATATTGTACACCAAGTCTTGTGCGTGCATAACGGGACTTGCGAACGGATAAACAGAAACAAATCGCAACTACAAGATGTGTAATTGTCGTTACATCCGTCACAGAAAATGGTGGGCTGGTGTTGTGTCTATTCAGACAAATGTCGAAGGACAGGCACAAACAGATTATTCGATCATTGAAGCAATCAGTATCAACTGCACCAAAAGAAATCCGGAGACTGTCCCTATTTGATCAGGAAACATGTCATTGCAATAGGTTATCAATATGTTTTAATAAGCTCATTTGAAGTGATGTTGCGCAATCACACTTGGCTCAGAGTAGTGATATGTGCTCTCATTTAATGCTGAAACAGTATGAATCAGCCCGAACGAAATTCGGAGTTTGTGTTTAAATCCTATCACCACCACTATCATTGCTTGAAGCGCTCGTTCCTATCTGTCACCGGTCAGCTTTCCAACGACCCCAACCGGAACACTATTCGCATTATGTGCATATTCAATACAAAGTAATCGACTTAGATTGGAAAATCTTGATGATGGGTAGATCTATCTCTTCACCTCGCTCCTCGATAACCCAAAAGTAACAACTCCTGTTATGGAAGAGAATTAGCCGTGCTATTGTTTCCCTATTAGTACTGGTTACACATACGCCTGTCTTACGTGCTTCCAACCGAAGAGAAGCATGAAATGTCGGCACCCAACAACCCATGCGTTCTAACCTATGAGCTGCGTTCGAAACAGCTTTGAATACCATTGGATTATTCTACTATGTATGTCTCTGAGATCATAGTAAAGGAACATGGGTGCGGTGTTACACAAATTCTATGGATATCATATACTACGGAACACGTCTCCAGGTCACAGACATGTAGACCACCTGGGCGGTTAACTGCTAATGGGTGTGCATTACTTTGAAAAATTAAATTGCCACAAACATCCAGGGGTGATGTCCCATAATGGTGAGCTCTAGCCTGGCAAGGGACCTCTGGGTAATGAAATGCCAGAATTGCTTGCTGAGAGCATAGTGTTGTGTGCAAATCTAGCCCGCCACCAAATAGGACAGATAACAACAGTGTAGCCCAGCTAAAACCATGTTGATAAAGTACTGAAAATTGGTTCCCAAAGTTCGAGTGAAATGAATTCCGTTTTGCCTGTTCACCGAGCTTGACAATTTGTTTGCAAACGTTTCAGTGCACCAGCCGAGGTGACATCATCAGTACTTGTGAATTGGCAGTGTTCTGCTTGTATCCCTTCGTTTGTATGTGTTCTTCTCAACCGACTACTTTTGTCCTTTGTTCTCACTTTATTCACCTCGGTTCAAAACCAAAGGAGGGAACAGTTGAGAAAGACAAGAGTGGTGTTATCTACAAAATTTAAAAAACTGTCCAAAACACTAAATCGGATAAACTGGAAGAATGTCAACAAGGATCTGTGACACATTCATCTGCTATTGCTTTCGGGCACGAAGCAGAACATTTCGCTTTCGTCAACAACCTGAGCCAACTAGTTGACCTTCCCACACGTGTCCCTGATCGAGCTGGCAATCGTGCCCACATACAATCTAATTCTCACTTCGGTCCCTTCTTTCTTCTCAGATATTTGTAACCTCCCTCCTCTTGGCTCATCAGATCACTGTACTGTCTCCTGCTCTATTAGGTTTTCAAACCCTGAGCCATCACCTACCTCAAGACACACATTCTGACGCTACAACTCAGTCAACTGGGACGATTTCTGTGATTTCCTAGCTGCTTATCCCTGGAGCGATTGCTGTTTCTCTTCGGATGTTTCCAAATCCGCTTTCAACTTCAAGATAAGCATCTTATCCCGC